GCTCTAAGATGATGCCACTGTGGGAATCCTGACCGCTGGTTGTTTCCACAGGAAGGGGACGCCTAACGGGACGCAGCCGTACTCCAGCCTCCCAGCAGAGGCCGTGTTAGGAAACACATTGGGGGCTTTAATCGTGGCCTTCGGCTTGGTGGTCCTAAAGATCTTGGCCAACGTTAACTGGCAGAGGCCAGACTCCAGGCCCGGAGACACGGCGTACACGGTGAGAGGAGCTGGAAAAAACATCCAGAAATAAGTAAAATTAAGTGTATTTACCCTTAATTTGAGAAGGTAAACAAGATAGTTTGCCAATGAATGAGTTTTTTTTTACTTTTAAAATGAGATAATTAGATAATATGGACTTTAAATAAGACAATGCAATTGTGTTTTCTTATTTTAAGTGTAAATTGTTTTGTTCCATTGGCAAAATGTCTATTTTACCTCCTTAATCCAAGAACAAATGCACTGATTTTAATAAAAAATGACTTATCTAGATTTATTTTTTTCCAGATCAAACCGTCTGGTTCTTCTTAATGTTTAATAACTGATGTTTTTGGTCCTACAGCCGCTGCTGCAGGAAGAAGATGACTAAAAATGGAGGAAGTTCATCACTGCTGACTGAAAAGATGATTTTATTTGTTTTTTATTTTGCGGACAATGATTGAAGTTTATGGCTGACATATAAATGACTAATCTGCTTGTTCAGTTTGTAAATATTTATCAAAATAGTTTTATTTAAAGTTGCTTTTTCATCCAAATAATAATAAATTTTTTGTGAAATTTCTTTGTTTTTTTCCTTGTTTTAATCACTTATCTTGCTGCTCCAACCTCAACGACAGTCATGGATTAGATCATCAATGCTTTATTTTTTTCATTTGATTCTTAAAGTAACAAACCTTTAGAAGAAGAAATCAAACCAATGATATTTCCAACATTATTACATAATTGTTGCTAATTCAGCATCTAAGAGGAAAGATCAGACTAAACTTTGTGACTTTGGTGGTGTAAGAGCCATAAAGCAGAAAAGATAGAATATGCAAGAAATAAGTACAGTTCATAGTTGCAGTTTATATTTTCTTTCATTCTTAGTTAGGGCTGCAACTAACGATTATTTTAAAAATCGATGAATCGGCCGATTATTTTTTCGATTAATCGATGAATCGGACAAAAAATATTTTTTATATTAATCTCTTTATTCCAAAATAAACATTTTAGACAGAACAAACAAGCACACAAGTACAGGTTGCTCATTAACTGTCCTGGTGCAATATGAAAAATAAATGTTTGTGTTAAAACTACGCAAACTTACATGAGAAATGTAGCTGTACATCCACAAAATATAGAAATATAGGCTACTTTGTTTCATAAAGCGCAAAAAAAGACATTTATGTTTTAAAAGCCCCTAAGGGGTTAAACAATAGGCCCCCCCATTTCAACAAATGAGTTTTTTTAGACTAGAAGAGTTCTGCCTTTTAAGACAGGAAAGTATAGCAGTTAAAGTTGCTACTTGAGAAAATACTGAACCATAGAGATAAAAATAGCCCTGTGATTCAAATTATAAATTGTATTTGGAATAAAAATGAGAGAACTAGGGGTGCTAAAAAACACATCCTCCAAAGACAGATATTTACATGGGAATGTGGCAGATAATTAATTGACATATTACTGATCTTGCTGGATTTTATTCTGCTTTACTTCCATAAATTGCAGGATCTTCTTTACTTTATCTTTGCCAGAAGATTTAAACTTTAAAAGCCTTGCCCTCATAATTTGCAAGTTAATTTATTTATAAAGTAAATATAAACGCTGCTTAAGCAAATTCAAATGAAATTAAAAGTAAAATAAGTAGCCAACCTTATCACTGTCTGTAACCTACTAACACGGTAAGGAAAGCATCAGATGAGCTACCTGAGAAACTAACGTTACGTTTCCCCACTTTAAAACCAAACAAACATGGTGGTTCCGTGCCATGTTCATTTATTTTGACAAAAGTTATGACTTTTTTCACTTTACAAAGCGCAGGCAATTTTAATTATTGTGATCAATTTGCGCCGTCAATCCCGGCGCATGCGCGCTTCATTTGCAGTCTGGACGCTGAGGGTAAACATCCTGCGGCTCTGACTGCAGCGCTGAGAGGGACTCCTGCGGGAGAACGGGGTTGGGATGGGGGAGGCGCCCCACGGCAGAGTAGGAACGATACATGCTTTCACGTAAGAGTCTCCAAAAGCCGCCAGTGACACCGTAAAAAGTCACCAGATTTGTCGCTAGTTGCTTTTTTGAAAAATAGTCGCTGGAGGGGTCTGAAAAGTCGCTAAATATAGCGACAAAGTCGCTGAGTTGGCAACACTGCACCTGCGGCGCTGCCGTATTTTTTTTCTTCCCCCGTTTCAGTCAAGTGGATGTTATGACGGCGGTGGCGGATGACGCATTAATCGCACGACACAACTAATCGATGTTGAAATTCGTTGCCAACGCTTTTAAAAGTCGATTTTTATCGATTTTATCGATTCGTTGTTGCAGCCCTATTCTTAGTTCATGTCATTGTGTATTTCATAGTTCTAAGAAAAGTTATTGATATAAAAAATATTTGATGACTGCCCCTTTAAGTGATGTAACTGAGAACGTGCAGAGCTGCACAAGGCATGGGAGCATAAAGTTTTCTTACCGTGCGCCTTCTGGTTTTCTAACCCTTTAATTTCTAAGTAAAGGCATCAAAACTTTAGGAACTTGTCATGTCGTGCGATTGAAGAAATGTCTGCAGCTCTAGGTGGTATTTTGGAAAATGAAGAGAGATTGCCACTACAGGTGGGTTCAAACCCCAGCTCTGTTCATCTCTGTTTTTTGTGTGTCCTTGGGCAAGGCATTACTCCTGCAGTGTCTCAGAAAGCCTGGAGTCCAGCAGCTTCTCTTCTGTGGGTGTGCCCCAGAGCAGCAGTGGCTACATGTGGCTCAGCACCATCAGACTTAAAAACGTGTCAGAAGTCTTTACTGTGCAGCCGTTTGGAAAGTTAGTCAAAAATTAGTAGCATAATTTATGGTTATTTAGCGTTTTTAAGAGAAAAATAAGGTTACTTTTCGGTCCAAGTCATTTTTTCACTGTCATTCATTCATTTATAAAAAAAAAAAAGTCAGTTCCACACTAAATAGTTTGTTAAATAAAAATTTACTCTGGATCAAAATATTTATCTTCCAAACTAAGTAATCGGCTTGCTAACAAACTTTTAACTGACAAGCTAAATATTTACTTTGGAATTTTGATTTTTATAAAGTGAAATGAAATGAAAAAATAACTTGGAAAATATAACCCGCTTATTTTCTCTTTAAACAGGTTAAATAACCATAAATATGCTCCAAATATTTGGCTGCTTAACTTTACAAACGGCTCCTCATATGAAACCAACTGTGTTATGGAGACTGTATGAGTTCAAGCAGATGGAGAAATGACTAGTTAGAGAACTAACTAGTTGTAGAACTGATTAGGTGGAGAACTTGCATCTCTGTTTCTTTTGCTTTATATAAATCAAAGGCAGAATCAGGAGACAGAACAGAGGATGATGAGGATGATGATGATGATGATGATGATGATGATGATCAGTGGTTGAAAGTGAGAGCTGTAGATCCTGTGACACAGAGGAAGCCACTGGTTCTAAAAAGGATCACAGGTGTAGAAGTCACATGATGGAGTGTGTGTGTGTGTGTGTGTGTGTGTGTGTGTGTGTGTGTGTGTGTGTGTGTGTGTGTGTGTGGGTGGGGGGGCTCCAGTTCCTCACTAACAGCTGTGCTGCTGAGAGCAAACCTGCCTGCAAAACGACTGTCTGACACAAGATGGCGGCAGAGAGCAGTTTAGAATTTGGCTGAACTGGCAGATCTGTAACTCTAGATTGTGAAATGTTAGACATCAGTTTCCAGATCTTTAAAAATGCCAAATTAAGTGTTGCTTTAAAAAGAATTATTTTCAGAAAGTCTCCCAGCAAAAACCCAGAGAGAGGAAAAAGTCCTGGAAGATGGCTGATGGCGTCGCTGCTGCTCTGATCAGCAAACATTTCATCTTCATGTTGGAGACACTTCTTATCTAACCACTCCTCTTCTGCCTCACGTGGTATTTTTCATAGATCAGGTGTTAAAAAGCTCGTTATCCAGAAAAAAAGGACTTTATTTGAAGACAGCCTTAAGTTGAGGGAAAGCAGCAGGAACGTCCTGAACGCGTCTCTGATGGATCTGCCTCCACCTGCAGGTCATGTTTCCTAAAACCTCCACTTCCTCAGGGTTTCATTTGCCGACTATGTTTTTCTTTTTCTCCTGGAGTTTTTCCTTCCATTCAACTTTCCATGATGCAGCAGATTGTAAAGAGTCTGGTCAGATTCGAGTTTAAAGAAATATCATCATGTTTCTTCTGATTTGAAAAAAAACCAGCAGGATTTTAGATTCTCTCATCCAGATTCCTGACTTTAATCTGATAATCTGTGAATTGAGCTAAAGATTAGGGTGATGGCAAAGAGGTTAATCTTCAGACGGGACAAAAGCTGCTCTCTGATTACAGGAAGGGTTTCAATACAAAGAAAGCATAAATAGTTGACCTTAGTTTGGAAAACATTAAAGTTTTTAAAACCAAGACTGTTTGCAAACAGGTAAAATAAGTCAAATATCTGTTTTAATTTCTTCTTTTATTTTATTTCTTATCTGTGGTCACTAAAATAACCACAGATTTTATAGTCAGCAGTAATGTAAAAACTTTGTTTCGGACACTCCTAAAAGCTGCTGCCATGAAATACTCTCACTTGGGTCCCTGCCAAAGTGGGCGCCGGTGGGCGGAGCCTCTGCAGCTTTGGGAGCTCCTTCCTCTGCTCCTCATTTGCATGGAGAGCAGTGAAAGCTGAGTGAGCTGCAGAAGGAGGAGCAGCTGCCTCCAGCACCCAGGGTCTGCATGAACAACTGGACCTTCATCTTCAGAGCGGAACAGTAAGTTCAGCCGCAGCAGCAAATTTTCCATCTTTCAAACTCTGAGGACATCCTTCCAAACTCCTTTACAGATTTCTTTCTGTGCACGGCGTCCTCCTGTTTTCTAATTGGCACTGTTTTAGTTTAAATACATGGAAATCTTTTCTGTTTCTAGAGCTAAAGATCTGATGACATGAGGCGAGTCCAGGACTTTCTGTTCATGGATTATCTTTGCTCCATCAGTTAGATGAGAGATGCCCTGAAACACAAAGGGATGTTGGGAAAGAACTGTCTGCAAGGATGACATTCCTGCAAATTGACATTTTGACCTTTTCAGCCAATCCCTAGACTGTTTCTGTCCTTACTGGAGGTTAATTAAAACATGATATGATACCAAAGAGCTGCAGAGTCTTTAATGATTGTTTGTCCTTCAGGTTTTTAGAGGAGGAGCTTCCAGCATGCAGCATAGAGAAATGATTTCAGAGGTTTCACGTTTCAGGCTCTCCCATCCAGGGATGTTTTCCTCTAAAGCAAAGGAAATGGATCCTGATGTGAGTGCGTTCAGATGCAAAGCAGCTGCAGCGCCACCCTGTCTGCATGCCTCCTGATCGTTGCTGATCACAGCTGCTGTGAAAGACGGCGTCCGCCGAGCCACAGGCTGCAGGCTTCACTCCATGCGAGGAGCCTGTTGACTCCAGCTTGTGTAAGCGCTGCCACGTTACAGAGGGAAGCTGATGGGTCAGTCCAGATGCTTTCTCACAGGACAGGCACATCTGGAGTGAAGTCATCCAATCATATCAGTTATTCATGCTTTGGACTTTATTCACTCATCAGTGAAATGTTTTCTGGAATTACTCAGAAAACTTTTAAAACTGCTATTTGTTTCTTTCCGACACCCCTAAACAATCTATGGCATATTTTAACGACTGAACATATTCATCTGTGTAAGTCATTAGGAACATTATCTGGTCTCCAGATAGAACGGGTCCTTTGGGTTCTTCTGGGTGGGGAGGTGGTTCCTCTGTGGACGAAGTTTGGTCCATATTCTCCCATGAAGCAGCTTCAGTAGCTGCATGCTAAGCTACGTTCACACCAGAAGCACTCTAAGCAGCAAAAAAAGCTGCTGCTTCATTTCTGCTGCTTGTCCTCATTAAGGTCAGACGTCCAGTAAAGTGAGTCCAGATGCTTCTGCTGCTCCTGTGTTCGATGCCAGAGAGCAGCTTTGCTATATTAGCTGTGATCAGCGGGTAGAAAGTAGTTAGAATCTATGTTGAAGTGAGAAAGTCCTCCTGAAAACATGGTCTGTGCAGTCAGTTCATCCAGATTACCATCCTGCCTTCAAAGATTATTTCTCTGTGGGAGCCGCTCAGACCTTACCTGACTCCGCCAGATGGATTTGCTCCGCATATCCATCTGGAAACCTTCCGTTGAAGAAATTTTGGTAAGGGGTGAAAATACTGGTTAGCTGATTGGCCTATGTTGGTGATAGACGGGCCAAATAAACCAATCAGATCAACGAAGCATATGACGTACTAACAGAGCGATGACGAAGAGGAGCCAATTGATAGATCAAACTCTTGCCTGAAACCAGTCGGGAGAAGAGCAAAAACATCTTTTCCTCTGAGAAAAGCCTCCAGAGCAGTGTTTTGCTCTTCTTTCAGTGAAGAAATACTCTGTAATTCCCATAAAACTTGCTCGATAGCCACGCTAACGCTAGTTTCATCGGCTGAAGCCGCCATGTTCTTTAGACCGAACTGTCGCAATTCTCGTTGCGTCACAGCTCAACCCGCCTCAACGCTGATTGGACGTTCGTTTGGAGAACGGCTCCAAATTTTCTTCAACGGAGAGTCTCCAGACTGATTAGCGAGAGAAACCTTGAGAGCTCGCGAGATCAGGATGATCTCACGAGGCTACCTCAGACCCCCACATACCGGCGCTGCGCTGTCACTGGGAATCCCCAGCAGCAGCTGCCTCAGGCCCGCTCGCCTCTCCAGGGTTTTCCCCTCCTGTTGGTGGCGGCTGGAAGTAGATGTTAGCGTTTTTCAGGTCTGTGCTACAAACTGCAGGCAGCAGGATAATAAAAGCCAACATATTCTGCCGGCAGGTTTCTACATTTGAAGTTAATTTAGGCGTTAATAAACTGTTTCAGAGGAGTGATCATAGCGCTCTGCATCAGCAGTGCTGCGTCTGACTCCCTGCCAGCTCCCAGATCAGCTTCTCTGATTGGTTGATGCGGCGCGTCCAGCAGCTGCTACATGTTAAAGCGCCTCAGATGCTCAGAAGCTCAGGATGTTCTGCTTCAGCTGCTTTTGCTGCACCTTGATGCGCGTCAACCATTGACTTTGCACGTATACTGGCTACTTCTGCTGCTTCAGTCGCGTTAGCTGTGAACTTAGCATTAGCCTGTCAAGTTATTTGGAAGACCTTTGGATGTTGGTTTCATTTTGCTAATCATACCAAATTACAAAATGCTCTCTCGATGAATTTAAGCTCTTTGGTTACAGTTAAAAAGAAAATGTTGCCTTTTTTACAAAAAATAAACTTTAAACTACCTAAACGGGCATGTATCCTTTTAGTAATGTACAAAAAACCATTTAATTACTCACTTTTTGGTGTTTCTTGAAGCGTGTGGCGATCTGACCTTATATTGTTTTTTTTTGTACGTCTAAAGGGATACACGCCCGTTGAGGTAGTTTAAAGTTTATTTTTCCAGCAAACCTAAAGGGATAAACTGGGAAGGGACGTTTTGAGCATGCATATTGACTGTGGGTATGCTGGTCTGACAGAACACCAGTCAAACTGTCTCCGTCTTTGGACGCCTGGAGGACCATCGTCTTTACTTCCCATCGCTCTAAAAAAAAAAACTTCTTAAAACATGGTGGTGGCTGAGTCATGCTGTGGGACGGCTTTCTTCACCACAGAGTACGTAAACTGATTTGAACTGATGCAGATGAAGCAGCGGTCCAGTAATTAAAGGGAATCAGCAGCATCATTTACAATTAAAAACAGCAGAATAAATGATTCTATATTCAACTCTTCTTAATTTGATATTTATTGGGAAACTGATGAACAGTTTTTATTTTATTTTAGCAGATGTATAGATTGTTAATGCTTAATAGTTATAAGAACAATTCTCCCCCCATACAGAGGTATGAATATAATCTCAGATTAAAGATTTTGCATTGAATATTTATAGAAAATGAACATAAGAACATGGATTTAACATCGTACCTTGGTATCGTTAAGCTGGAGCCCTCAGGTGCATCTTTAGGTTTGGCTCCATGTCTGAGACTCCATCTTTGATGGAAGGACAGTAATAATCCTTTAGTTTAGCTCTGATGTTAAGCTTCCACTAATATAAACTGCTTCTAATGACCTGATCTGTACTGTTTACATCTTTTCTGTTTTATTGCTCAGCTGATGTCATCAGTAAAGAGGATGCTAAAAACCAGTATGGATAAATATTGATAATAAATATCTTTATCTTTCTGTCCGTCTGTCTATTAAAATCCTCTGTATTTATCTTTTTAACAGTGCTTATCAGAATGCCGGCCAACCAAAAGCTGTCCTACTGTACTGGGATCTTCTTGCTGGTGTTGAAGCTGGCCCACGCCCAGTATGAGCACCTTGGATACCCGCTGGGGTACCCGCATGCTGAAGTGGAACAGTACAGCCCCCCAGTCCTGGCTCCAGATACCCCCAGGATCCAGCTGAGACTAGCTGGACAGAAGAGGAAGCACAACGAGGGTCGAGTTGAGGTTTACTACAACGGTACGTGGGGTACCGTCTGCGATGACGACTTCAGCATCCACGCCGCTCAGGTGGTGTGCAAAGAACTGGGCTACCAGGAAGCCGTCTCATGGGTGCCTTCTTCAAAATATGGGAAAGGAGAAGGTAAAGCACAGACTCCAAACAAATGGCTCCATGTTTAGTCATTTATTGGCATGCATCCTGATGATAATAATACCTGGATCTCTGTTTTATCCCATAAGGACCCATCTGGTTCGACAACCTTCGATGCACGGGGAAAGAGAAGACGTTGTCTCTGTGTCCGTCCAACGGGATCGGCGTCTCAGACTGCAAACACACTGAAGATGTAGGCGTGGTTTGCAGCGACAAGAGGATCCCTGGATTTAAATTTGTCAACGTGCTGCCCAATCATGTGGAGGTAATCTCCTTCAAAACCTGCATGCTGTCGGTTCATTTCCTTCTCCTCGTTGACTTTTGCAGATGTTTGCTAAAAGGTTGGTTTAATCTCATTGGACTATTAGTCCAACAAACCCTCCAACTCACTTTTTAGGCATCATTTCAGGTTGAATGTTTTGGATGGCTGGAAAGTGGAGCTGCAGGTGCAGACCAGAGGCGGCTGGTGGAGTTTTCTCCAGGAAAATCAATCTGACTGGATGATCTGGTTGAACTGGAAAGTGACCTGAGATGACGTGATGTGAATTGGAGCTATAGAAATAAACTGAATAGAATGGAATTAGGGGTAACTAAAGGAGGCTCTGATCCTTCCTACTGGATTGGCCTGGAGGTCACCTGGGGGGTTAATGGTCGTTAACTGCCATCATATTCATGCATGTGCAGTCTGTTATTGTTCAGCTTGAATGTGAGAAACTTTTAACTCATTTGTAAATGTTAAAGGAATAGTACACCCAAAACATGATTAGCCTTCATTTTCTACTCACCCCCATGCTGAACAACACTCTGGAGTACTTTTTTGATATCTCAAATGCATCTGGAGATCTGGGAGGCTTCTTGCTGTCTGCTGACATTCAAATAATGGAGGTCTATGGTGCCCGAGACAGAAAGGTCCATAAAAGTCCACAAAAAACGTGTCAATATTCCTCCATACTGCTCGTCCAATGTATTCCAAGTGTCCTGAGTGGGTAGCGTCTAGAATTTACTCGAAACGAAGTCATTTAGGATGTTTTTAGAGCATAAACAGTAGTGTATAGGATTTCCTGAAAGCGCGCACATGCGCGATCACGACGCTACGGAAACCGCGGCAGACCAAACCAGATGAAAGTGCGCATTCAGCTCGGCAAAGAACTCATGCTCTTCCTCAACACTGAAGTCCTCAGACATTTTTCTTTCGTTGTTTCTTTCTTTGCACAGGTAAACAGCACATTTCTTCTTCTACGCTTGCATTATCGGCAGAGCAGACGCTGAATGCGCACTTTCATCTGGTTTGGTCTGCCGGCTTCCGTAGCGTCGTGAACGCGCATGTTCGCGCTTTTAGGAAATCCTATACACTACTGTTTATGCTCTAAAAACATTCTAAATGACTTCGTTTCGAGTAAATTCTGGATGCTACCCACTCAGGACACTTGGAATACATTGGACGAGCAGTATGGAGGAATATTGACACGTTTTTTGTGGACTTTTATGGACCTTTCTGCCTCGGGCGCCATAGACCTCCATTATTTGAATGTCAGCAGACAGCAAGAAGCCTCCCAGATCTCCAGATGCATTTGAGATATCAAAAAAGTACTCCAGAGTGTTGTTCAGCATGGGGGTGAGTAGAAAATGAAGGCTAATCATGTTTTGGGTGTACTATTCCTTTAAGGTACAGATGTAAGCTTTGGGTGTTGAACATTTGTGAATTGGGATGTATACTTCAGAATCTGGTTCTACGCTTGTGGATCTGATTTTATGCTTATAAATCTTGGCGTATGCTTTGTGAATCTTTTTGAGACTGATTTAGCTCCATATGGACTCCTACTAGGAACATTTGTAGGGTCATAGAATGAAAAACTGAGTTTATATTGTTGCTCTGTGTCGAGTCGGGTTTGGTCGCTCTGTCCCCCGCTGGCTCCCTGCCCCCGTTCTCTGGGGTTCCTGGACCAGCCCCAGAGCTCACGGCTTTGTGCCCGGTGTGTTTCGACTACTTGCTGCACTGTAGTCGACCAAAATCCCGGACGATTTTGGAATTCCCTCCGGACATTTTTTAGAAATGAAAAGTGGCCGGCAACGTTTTGCAGGTCAAGGACCCCCAAACACCTATAGCGAGATGGAGCGGGGAACCCCTAATTATATATATATGGTATGAAATAGTGTTCTATCAAACTGGTCCTATAGTCACTCTATTACAGATGCAGTAATGTAACTAAAGTAATCGCTCCCTGGGATTATTAAAGTATTTCTGATTCCTGGTTGATGGGACAGGTGTTGTGAATGAAACGGTGCCCAGCTTGAAAGAGCTCCTGTGTGTCTCTGAATGTGAGCATTGATGACTGCAAGACATCTTCTGCCTCCATTTATCTGTTTACTACAGTCTGTTGGATTCGTGTTCATGTTGATTTAAAGACATTTCAATTAGTGGAAAAAAAAACTGCAGGTGGGATTATAAAAAAAAAAAAAATCAACCAAAACTTTCGCGACTCCCCTGCAGTACCTCCGTGGACCTCTTAGGCGTTGTGGACCCCCTGTTGAGGACCTCCGCCCTACCATATCAACAATCTGATGTTTCAGTGACTGAGTGCTTGTTGCTATGATGCGTCTTTGCTCACCAGCTTGGCTCGTTGTAAACCAACCAATCAGAGCACAGCTCATCTAAATATTCATGATCAAACCATAAAAGGAAGAAAAGCTGTGGTTTCATTCTAGGGCTTTTAACCAGGCTGGGTGTCCAATCATATCAGAGTTTCTCCAACTTACCTCTATTCCTCATAAAGCCAAACATTATTGATTATAATGCCTTTAAGACCTTACAGTAAATATGTTTTACTATTTACTGTCTCCAGAAATCTTGTAAACCTAATTAACTGATTTCCAGAAATGTATAAATCATTGGTTTTCTTATCATTCTGGTTGGATTCTGCAGATACTAAAGCTTAAGTTGGTAGAAAGAGGTTTCACACACAGAATAATGTTTAATCCAGACAACAGCTGGTTTTATAGCTAACAGTTCCTTTTCTTTCTACTGAAACATTTTATGTTACCTCTTTTTTGGGACTGCAGGATCTAGAGCGAGAGCAGCTTTGGTAACACTAAGTTTTGAATGTTCTATAAAATGGAACATGGGATGTCTGCAGAGGGCTTTCTTCACCATGAAGGTTCTTACTATTTCAGAAATCTTAAATCATTTATTTGACAGATGGTATAAAAATTGTCTTTGCTATAATAAAATGTTGCTCTACTTTAGAACAGCAAAGATCTCCATGCTGCACAGATGCTGCAGATAAACAGGATCAGAAATGGGATTATTATTGGAAACAATCTGATACACCATGAAAATAAACAGATGGTGCATTTGAAGAGTTTTATGAGTTTTTTAAAAGACCCGCATTTAAATAAAAAATGCACATGCACAACCCTGTACCCTCTCTAGGGAACATCTATTAAACGCGTGTGAGAGCGTGCGCAAGACCATTTCTCCTGGTGCAAGCTCTGTTTAAAAGTTGCTGTTCTCATCGCTCATACCAGCCAACCGTGTCCAAACGGCCGCCATAACCTCTAAATCCCACCATCACTATATAGAGCAGGGAATATATAGTGAACTTTATAGTGAACTCAGTTAACTGACCGTTCAGACAGATGATCACTGCTTTTTGCTCCTTTGGTCACTTAACTCCTCCTCCACCGCCCGTTTCCTGCGCCATCTTTGTTATTAGTCGCCGCTGTCGGTTAGTGACAGCAATTCCCATAATGCTTTGTGAGGAGAGCTCTCCATGCAAAGCATTCTGGGATATATCTGCCTCTTCTGAGGCCTTTCTTTTCTTCTCATTCACTTCATAGACACTTTTTCTCTTATGACCATCGGCCATTTTCAAAGAAAGGTGAGCTTCAATGACCGTCTGAAACCGTAGCTCCCCACAGATATACACATGAAAGAGCGCAGAAAAATATAACTAACGGGACGAACACGTAGGATGGACTCATCGCATGAATGATTGACAGTTAGGAGGACCACTTATTGAGATGTTCCACCCGGAAATAAGAGATCATCCTCTATACCTTTAAGAAGAAAATGGTAGAGAGGATGTAACGGATCGCTCTCATGCACTAAAGTATTATTCAGAGAAGTTTTACAGAAAAGTGGATAAATTAAAGTTTCAGGCTAACGGTTCCTGAGATGTTGGGTTTAAAACAGGCGGGATGCTGCAAACTGTGTCATGATGGGTATCAGGGAGGCCCAATATGCAGAACACTGACGACACGGATGGAAAGTTTAACAGAGTTTATTGGCAAATTCACACATATAATAAAGACTGATGCAATGGTTCTGGGCTGGGACCGGTTCACTGGCGTCTGTGAGAAAGACAGTTTGGTTAGCGAAGGCTTGGTTGAGACTTGACTGATTGTGTTCAGGTTTGTACCTTGATGAACGTAGAGGAGGCTTTGGGAGCGGAACTGTTGGGTCCGGAGAAAGCTTGGGTTGGCAGAGTCCTTAAGCTGTTTCAGCGTCTTACTTCTAAAGGCTGTTTTGACCTTGGCATGTGTTTCCAGCTCGGTATCCAGAGCTGCTAGGAAATCCAGAGAGTGAGTCTTCAGGTTTGGCTCGGAGGGCTGGCTCGGCAGGTTAAGCTCTTCCAGAGCTTCACAGGAGAAAGAACAGGAAACCTGGAAGCAGAGACAAAAGGGTTAGAATCCAGGTTGGACTCAAAGGAGACTTGGTTCACTAGGGATCTATGGCTTAAGTGCTAACCAACTGATTAAGACACTGCGGCGTCGAGGCAAGGTCTGAAGGCAGCTTAAGTAGTCCAGGTCCTCCAGATGAGATCATCAGCTGCAGGTGTGCAGAGCAGCTCAGCAGGGAGGATCCAGGGTGGACTCTGCTGGAGAAAAGGTGTATTTCTCCAGCTCCCAACAGTACCCCCCCCTCAACGACCGCCCCTTGGCGGTGCGGAAGAGGTAGACGGGAGGGAACGCTCATACTCCTCGATGAGAGAAGAGTCGAGGATGTATGAACCAGGAACCCATTGTCGGTCCTCCGGACCGTAGCCCTCCCAGTCGACGAGGTACTGCCAACCGCGACCTCGCCGACGGGAGTCCACGATCCGGCGAACGGTGAAGGCCGGATGTCCATCGACTTCCAGGGCGGGTGGAGGGGAGTCGGATGGAGGGCAAATGGGACTAGAGATGACTGGTTTAACCTGGGAGACGTGGAACGTAGGGTGAATCCTGAGTGTCGGGGGAAGTTGAAGACGGACGGCGGAGGGGTTG